GACAGTCCCTGCCCTAAGGGGTAATTGGTGCCCTCACCACAAATGGTCAAATGGTCGCCATTTTTCCTTCAGGACCTTCTACAACAATATTTCTCTTGCTTCTAAATGAAACTGCCACACCTCCAATCCCTGAGATCATGCCTGCCACGGGCTGCAGCTCCCAGTTGGAGCTTGGAGTGGGCTATGAGGGTAACATCTGCTCCAGTGTCTAGTATGCCTGGGTGGCAGATCTTTTCCCCTCTGTAGAAGAGGCCACAGTTGACAATGGGTTTATTTGAGCCCACAATTTCCATCCACATGGCAGTAGGGTTGAGGGGAACCTGTTTCAAAGAGTCAGGTGGCAGTAAAAATGCCTGTGGAATACAAGTGTGTTGGGATAGGTAGTATGGAGGGTCCATGCCAGACAGACAAAAATTTCATCCCTGGATGTATTGTCTGCACCTCAGGAATCACATAAATTTGCTCTGGTGCGTTGAGCAGGTCACCAATAATTAAAGGACTGTCCCCTGGTCCATATTTCCCAGTTGGTATCTTGTGAATGCACTCATCTGTAAGGTCAGTGGACAGTTTGCTTACCTGCTGGTGCTGGTTCCCACATGAACCATTCTGTATGTGGCGTCTGCTTCAGATGTGCTGGCAACAGCAGAACACTCGGGGCTGGTGTCTGGTCTCTCATCTGCTCTGAGAAGGTAGGTATAGCAGGACGGGACAGCTTCTGATTTTGTCATGACGCGGGGCTGTTCTGATCTCCGTGGGGAGTTTCCTGGATGGCATGGGTAAGACAGGCGTGGTTGTGGCCATGGATAGTGCTTGTGGGAGTTAATTGGTGTACTTTGCCAGGGACAGTCCTTAAAGAAATGTCCAGTCTCTCCACAATTAAAATATTTTTGATTGTCCTTGGCTACTGCTGCAAATGCCCCAGTCACCCCGTCTACATTCCCCTTAGTCACAGCCTGCGCCACAGTGTTTTCTGATTACATGTATTTATCTGAAATTTTATTTTTTCTGTTTTAAAGAAATAAAAATTGGAAACCATTAAAAAAGAACAAAGCATTTGTAAATTTACTATTCTTACATGTTATTATGTATAGATTACAAAACATATTATCACATTGTGCAAGTGTTACTTATGTTCCAAAGCACATTAGTGTTAATTTGGTTATAACCTTTGAGAAACATTGGTTGATTGGTTGACATATTTACATGTCATTACAATGTCAAACAATTGCATGTCCTGTGTGTTGTATACCAGTATTTTTAGTCACTTGAATGCCCCAGCATAAAATATCTGCATACACATTCTGACACGTGTGTGACATGTTGTGTTTTTAAACTGCTTCACTATTGGTTGTATTTCCAAGGTGAAAATGTTTGTTACTGTCCAGGCTTTGTAGGTGTTAGATGTATTTTTCCTACTGGAGTTCAATGATTTTTGTCTTGTGTGTTTTGATTTGTCACTGTTGTTTTCAATATTTGCAGCAGGGATTTCCTTTGGTATAAAATAGACTTCATTAGACTTTCCTGTCTAAGTGCAGGAAAACTTGTCTTCTGTCAAAAGATAGATACAGTTTTTGTGTTTGTTCTGGCTTAATGCTTTATTTTGTATGTTTATTTATGTCCACTGTTCTCCCACATTATTTAATGCTGGCAGTAGATTTTTCTTCCTTGCTTTTTCTATGTTCCTGCCACAGGTCTGTTGATACAGCTGTGTCAGTCTGAAGGATTATTCATTTTAGGGAGTTGTCAATAAATGGAGTTTAGATGGTGTTGAATAAGACTATGTTTCCTTTTCCACTAAAATACAAACACAATGTCTTTTAATGCCCTTGTGTGTTGTGCTGTGCCTCATGCATCTTTGTGGTTGTGATTGGAATGTGAATGTTAGTGGTTCTAAGCAGTTAGAGGAGGTATAAAGAGTGTAATAATTCTAGCACCGGTGTCTCATACCAAATGCTCCACAAAGGAAAACGAAATGCCAATTTCATAAAAGCACATTTTGTGCATATTGGATTTAGTTCTTTGAGTTTGCTGTTGTTATTCTTGGCTGCTTTGATAGTAATGAAGAGTGGGTATCATTGCAAAATACCTGTGAATTTCCATTCCCTCCCCTTTTTTAGTCCTCTGTCTCAATATTCTCAAGGGATTGGAATTTGTCCTTAATGTATTATAAAGTTTGTCTGTATCTTACTGCTGTTATTTTAATGAAGGATTAAAATTACTCCTAGAGTATGCATATTTTCATGCTTTGACACATAGGACACATCCTGTTATGATGATGTAGGCAGCTGAGCTTTGGTGTTTGTAGTCCTCCAGGGTACCCACAGCAGAATCAGTGGTGTGATCTGCAGCAGCTGTTATCTGAATCATATGTGTCAGCTTTACAACTGTAAAGAGCAAAAGTAAAACATATGTAGTCACAACAGAGCACCAATATCATAATTTCATGTAAATTAGAAGAATTGCTTTGGGAAAAATGGGAGATGAATGAGAGATGTTGCCATGTAGGTGCCTAATTAATCTACCCATTTCATATTTCAGTAGTTTAAAATTCTACCAAGATCCAGTAGAACATGCTTTTTCCCTATAGTCAAAACAATTTTCTTGGTAGTAGGGGAAAAAACCCACCAGCCAGATTTTTCAGATATTCCTGTTGTGAAAATTTCAGGGTCATGTGTAGCTTGACTCTTTGTGGCTAGAGAAGTCTCTGACATGGATGAAACTCTAAGAGCACTTATATATTACAGCATCCATTATTCTCAAAAAAGGCCAGAAAATAAAAGTAAGGGGCAAAATTTTCATGTTGCATTCCTGTTTATCTGCTAGGGAAGTTCATTTAAACCTCACAAATTGATCAAGGTTTTTTCTTTAAAGAATGATTCAGGGATTTTTTCTGTCTTGCAGTCTTATCACTTGATCAGTAAAGTCCATCAACAGTGGAGCTAGTCTAGGCATTGAATTGTGATTCTTTTAGTCTGCAATTACACAAAGATTCATAGATAACTTTGTGTCTTATGAACCTGCTTTGTTGCTGACAGGAATTTGAACAAATTCCAATTGCTCTGAACAAACAATCAAGAAATTTGCTCTAATGATGCAATTTTGTAATACAAAAAAATCTAAGTAAATTAGCTTTTAATGCTAATTATGAAGCAGTTTCTTGTGTTCCTATTAATCTTGTTACTTTGTTTATTCTCTAAGCTCTTTAATGCAAGGAAGCGTAACTGAAGGATGTCAAAGTACATCTCCATTAGTAACACTTTGTTGGTTTGCCTGGTGCATTTTGTCCAAGCAGCACAATTCAATCAATACATTCATTGCCTGGGAGACAAGAGAGTCTCTATGGCAAGCCAGCTTCCATGTACACTTCAAAATACTCTAAAATTATTCCTCTGTTCAATTGAATTCTGTGCTTCTGAGGCGGGAGGGAGCAGGATCAGTTACTGTTGTCAAATTTTGGACATTACCTGTGTGTTTAGGGTTCAAACTCTGGTTGTGAGTTCATAAAAAAGAACATCAGCTGGTTCACACAGGCAGATCTGGGGAAACACCTCCCGTTTGCCTGTCAGCCAAGATTCCTGTGATGTTCTTTGCAGGCACTTGGCACAGCTACAGAGTAAGGACTAAGTTCTGCTTTACTCTTAAAACACAGGTTCATTTTCTTTATGACTAATAAATATTTTCTCCACTTCTGCAACTTTACTTTTCTACATAGAATAACTTTCAGGATATTTGCTACTGTGTTGATTGATCTGTGAGTTAATATTAATTAGGCAATAGCATATAATTCTTTGTGCCGAGTTATGATTATTAAAATAATTTCTAAATTAAATTTGGAGGTTGAGCATTAACCCAGTAAATAGCTATGATGGGTGTTTTATTGTTTAAAAAGAAAATACCAGAAAAGATACTGTATATCTTGTCAAATTGATCTGATAAAGAGCACAAGCCAAAATTATGCTGTTGGTGAATCACCATTAAGTTAGAAATAAAATTATATTATAATGTATTTACATATATTATATGTAAATGAAGGACAGACCAGGGATATTGCTGACGATTCATACACTCTGATAGTTAACTGAAATTAGTTAAATTTGTACAAAGCTTTCTGCAAGTGTGGGTAACCCATCTTGTGAACTAATTGGTATTTGGTTTAGGTAATTTTCTGGTTTCATGCTCAGCATTTATTGAGAGGTGTACAATAAAGAACTGTTGGATCTCTTCAGAAAATGCAGAATCAGACTGAATCAAGATTAGTGGTTGTTTATGGAAAGTGAAGCCTCCAGGGTAATGCAGCAGGTGAATAGGTTGCAATGTTTGAGAGCAGCTCTACTTGATTTGCAATTGGAGTATAGAAATGCAAGTTATACCACCAGGAATGAAACCCAGAGTAGCTTTGTTTCATAATATTTGAATGAGGGGTTTTTTCATTATTAATAAAAGGTACACCAATAGAGATTGGTATCCTGTACATGTAGTGTTAGAATTAGAAAGAGTCTTAATAAAATGGAATTAATTTTTGGCTTTTGAAGAAAAGCCTGACTTCTTTTTTGTGTTTGTCCTAGCTGTATGAAATCTTTCACAGTGCTGAAAATTCGTTGGTAAAAGGATGATTATTATTACTCTTGTTGTTATTACTATTATTGTTGTTATTATTATTTAAAACCAGAGCACATATTTGCACTAACAGACCATTTTTGAAACAATAGGTCTCTAATTTTGCTTTTCTTGGCAAATTAATCCAGAAACATTTTTAACAGATTTCACATCTCTTTAAAGACTTTTTTTTTCTTCTTAAATTGTACTAGAGCCAGCATCCTGACTAGATGCAAACCTGCTATGAAATTGATATTCTTTTTTACTCCTTTTTATTTTTTTTAAACAGTTACTCAGTTCTTACGGATCTGCACATTATAGTCTAACTGAATCAATTATATTTAAGTGCACAGAAGTTGGTCATGTTTAACTTGTGGTGTTTACCTTTTTTTGTTTCCTTATAGGTATATTCGAATTGTTGGGACCCACAATACAGTGAACAAAGTTTTCCATATTGTGGCATTTGAATGCATGTTCACAAACAAATCCTTTACTCTTGAGAAGGGTCTGCTAGGTAAGAGATAAAAAACATTTTTCTTTTTCATGAACTGTTGTAAACACTTGTCTTTTAAAGCTGACCATTACTGTGCTCTACATCTGTTTCCATACAGAAATCTCTAAATTGATTTAAACAGTGTTGTAAGCATAGAATTAGTTGGCTAGTTCTTACAACTTCTATGAAATTCCAGTACTGTGGATTAAGTAATGATGCTGCAGGAATGCTGAAATTGAAATTAATCACAGCTGACAAAGCCACTGGTAGCCGAGTCAGTCAGTGCTGGCAATGTGATTTTTCTTTGCATGTCACAGTATGGTTGCTCACGCCTCCCAGTAGGTTAGCCTGAATTCTCTTACAGGAAAAGACTAAACACAGCTATTTATTGTAGTGATGATGGATTTGGACATTTAGGGCATCTTATACAGCCTGGTTACAGCTGCTGAAAGTAAGCTCTCATGTATTGATTTCCTCTCCAAAGAGCCATAGAGATGCTTAGCCATGGCAGAACATACTGGCTATGCTGCTATTATACTCAGAACACCACACTGATGGAGCTCTCAGCTCTGGACAGTTTATATTACACTGATTTAAGTAACTTTTTGTTACTTAAGGTAGAAATCCCCAACAGTTCAATGGTACTGAATGATAAAATGTGTCACAGAAAGACTTAATATTGATTTTTTTTTTAAATGGTTCAAATGGGTTGGTTTCTGTGCTTTCTTCCATATAAACTCACAGAAGTCAGATCCTGAAGTTGATTGGTAAGAGAGTATTTAGTAGTTATCTAGGTAGAATTTCCTACAGTTTATTACTTATGGCATAAAATCAAGAATTTCAGCAAAATTTTCAGAGTTCATGCTGGTTTTAAACATATATTTAAATTTTAAATATGTACCTGTGACAGATGGAAGGGAATACAGTTTTCAAAATAGGATGAGAGGAAGATTTTTAGTAAGACATAGTCACTTTAAATTTTTTTTTGAGAAAACTATAATATTTAACCATGAAAAACCAAGACCCAATTCCTTCAGCCTGTTCCCTGTGCATTATAAAAAGGTGTCTTGGTTCTAGAAGACAGGTGTCTGCTAGGGAGAGCAGGAGCCTCCCTTGGGATGAAAGAATGTAGACCCCCTCCCTCCGAATGATTATAATTTTGAAATCAAGGGGCCTTTAGGCAGAGATCTGGGGATAGGAATAACAGTTCTTTACTAGTATAACCAGGCAAACAAACAACAGTAACTACAGCATTAACAAGGAAACAGAACCAGGGGCCCTGTGACAGCTTTCTCGGCTGAGACGGGATGGAGGAGGAGAGGCTTTGTTCTCACAAACCCCCTCGGGCGGGCAGTCCCGATGTTCCTGCGGGGCTCTGAGGAACAGTCGGCTGGAACAGCAGGAATGAGCTGAGATCCTGGGCTGGTGGCTGAGGTGTATCAGCAGCTCCGCGGCGGTGCCTGGCACTGCCACACGTCCCGGCAGGGCAGGGGGTGTGAGGCCACCAACAAAGAGGGAAGAAGGAGAAGAAGCAGCAGCTCTGTCTGGGTGATGGCGAAATTCCCTTCTCTCCACCGCAGCAGCTCCGCGACCCAGCAAACGAATGTCTTTCCCCGAAGCCGAAGAAAGCCAGCCAAAAACTGTCCCCACCCTCCTTTCCTGCCCCTTCTCCCCCCTGGGCCCGGCCACTCTTTGTCCTTTGTCGAGCACCCACTAAATATCCGCAGTTAGGTTGTCTCCGCAGCTAATGTAAAAATTCCACGGACAGGCCAGAACAACAAAACAAAAAAAAAGGACACCTAACCCTCAACAAAAGGCAAATCAAAAGCCTTCCCTTTGTTTTAGGTAGTGTGCAAGTAGCATTGCAATTGCTATTGACTACGAAATAGAATAAGCAGTAAAGAAATGTGTTAAAAGAAAGCATCTCCCTTCAGTAAGCTAGTTAGTAGAGAAACAAAGTAGCTCAGATTTGATAAACCTTTTCAGCTAAATTTCATAGTTAGGACTGCCAGCTATGAATTTTTAGAAACTTCATATAAAATCAGTGTGTATGAATATTTGTTCACATTTTATTTCAGGTGATCAAACTTATTTAGTAAATGCTGAATTTGGGACTTAAGTAATTTTTTTTGAGTGTTAACACAAAGATTGTTTGATCATAAGTAGGCAAGGCAGTGAATCTGTGCATGTTTGTGTAAGTGAACTTATAAGTGACCCATCTTTCATAGACTCAATTATTTTTTCTGGTTGAGTGATCAGTCTGGTGAGACAAACTATTTGATCTATTTTAACATTTCTTAAGTTTCAAGGGTAATCTAGGGAATGGAGACTTTATAAGGTTTTATTAAAAATTCTCCCCTTGTGACAGTGTTTTTGTAGAATCTTATAGGTCAGTACGGTCTGGGCAGTGTAAGTGAGGGTTTCTGGTGTTAATGTTGATTGTTAATCGAGGGCAGCTTTGCTGTTGTTCAGTGGGAGTCAGTCAAGCTGTTGTACGGTAAGTCATTTGAAGTGATCAGCAATAAGGGAAGAGAGGCCTCTAGGTTTTCGCAGCTTTTTAGGCTTAAGGGATGTTAGTCAATACAATTGATAGAAAATTAAAAGTAAGAATTTGGGGAGTAGTTAATTGAAAGTAGGATGTGGATAGTCTTCCAACTGTCAGTGAGGCACTAGCAGTTGTATACATGACCCTGCAGAGTTTATGGTGAGAGAGATACAAATGGAAAGATTTGGGGACTATTTGAGGCCTGTCCAGTTGTGAAATGGAGCAGGGACACCTCTGACTGTTCCATCAGAATTTTTGGCCATCAGTATTGCATATTCAAAAATATTCTCAACAAGTTAAATCCAGCAAAAAGATATTATATCCATTTAATGCTTTTTTTTCATACCTCTGATGATTAACATAAGGTGCCATATTGTATGACCCTGTTATAAATGCAATGGCAAAATAGGGTTAATATAAAAAATGATTTATTATAAAACAATTTCAATCACAAGCAACGAGAGAAAAACCACAATAAAATAAATCAGCGCAGCACCGGGTGGATAGGGGTCTGCAACCAGAGGTACAGATTTCCTCAAATGCACGAGGAAGTCTTAAAAACGAGATTCACTTAATAATTTATAAAAAGAATTTAATATAAATAAAAGACAATTAGGAGACATAAGAAATAAAGCAAAGGGTTAAAACGGCCGGGTGCCTTGGCACGCTGCCAAGAGCACACCTGGTATCTCATGGATACCCCTTTTATCCCATCCTTGCTGTGAGGGGTTAATGCATATTCAAGCATGTCCCCTCCCTGGTTCCGCCTTCTTAGATCATGCTTTTGCACAGTCTCAGTTTCTGCTGGTCATCATAATTTTTTTGCTGGTCATCATTATTCTTGCTGGTCAGCATTCTTTTGGAGTCTGGTTTCCTTTTTTCTGCAGATGGTCAGTTGTTGATAAGGGTCTGGGCCTCTCATCCTTCTTCTGAGGGCAGATGGGTTTCATATCTTCCGCTGATAACAGTTTGGCTTCTATTGTTCTCTTGATAAGAGTTTGGGCCCCACTGTCCTTGCCCTCTGGGGTTTCCTTGCCTTGTACCTAGGAAATTCTTTTAAGCTTAAGACTTGTTAGCAAGAAAAAAGTACATACATAGCTAAAAAGTATTTAACATATAATATTCATCTGCGAAAGCCAATATCACAATACAAATTTATAACA